ATAGTTTTCAGTGCTGAGACGAGGGTAAAATTATTTCGAGACTGAACTTTGATTTAATTTGTCAGAACATGCTGTACGCTTATTGGGTTGTCAGTAGTATGACAAGATCACCAACGTCACTTAGGGGCACCTGAGATGTGGATGCAACAGAGTAATCTGCCACACCAACCACGTCACGTCGATCCTCTCGTAAACAAAGTGAAACACCAAGTCATCTTGGTGGGTAGTGATTGGCGGTGGATCAAATGTCTTTGACATAATGCTCCACGAAGATGAATGCGATAACACAGGTAAAAACTGTGCATGTCATTAAAAAGGTAACCAAATCTAATCCAATATAATCTAGTCCAACTCTCAAAAATTTAACCTTTTTTTTGCGTAGATAATAAATCATACTGAGGTGGGGATTAAGGCCCGCGTGAAAAAATCACATACCTCGAGTTGGGCGAATATCAGGAAGTCATCAACACACCAGACGAATGATGCGTCCAAGTGCTATCGAAACTGTGAGATAACCAATTTGGAAAAGTCTTTTTCCCTTCCCCTCCTCCTGAAACCATTGGCGTACACTTAACAACACGCAAGCCTGTCATTTGAAAGTTACTTTTTCCAGCCTTTACCATCCCGATGAGGTATAGCAGATAACTTAAGTAAAACATTTTTTTAGTTCATGCCATTAAATTGCATTCGACAATTGGACAGGCGTCTCACTGGAAAAGTTTTCAGCTGTTTGAAATGACAATGGGTCGAGGGGCTGTAAAAATGGTCTGGCTCACCTGGATTGCAAATTTTTTCTCCACTTAGACTACATCGGTACTCCTTGGCCTCGGAGGAGCAGAAGACATCGCACAGCTCTCCAAAGTAGTCCGCCACACAGGTGTAGGCGAATTGGAATTGTAAAATTCTAAAAGTTTCAAACAAACGCTTGCATTATTCATCAAACCTTGGGAGCAAATCTTCACTCCTGCCTCACTTCTCGAACTAAATCTCCTCACATGAGTCTCGAGTTCGGTAGCACAGACAGCCTGTCATCCGATTTTGCGCTGAAATTTCATCCTGGCGGCATTTCCACTCCGGAACTGCCCAAAAGGCCATGTGACTATAATTTTAATTCACCTCATGGGTAAGGAGACCATAAAGAGGAGCGGTTCGTGGGGCGCCAGAACATGAAACGCTCCAGTGACAACAGTACCGAGGTAATTTTAGCCTCTTCGTTTGCACGGACTTGGGTAAGAAGACGTGAGGCAACATTTTTGTCGGTTTTATATCCCCGTCTCGGTGTCTAATTGAGGCAAATGGCTCAAAATTGTCCAGGCGTCGAACTGTCTCCCTCAACACAGGCAGGCGGGACACTGGATCATTTCTATGCGTTAGAAATTTCACTAAAGGAAGGAAGGAAGGAGGACGGATCAACGTGCCTCTAGCCTGTACAATCATAAATTATTAGCCTGTTAGTGCTCTTCTTCTGCTCCTGCCTAAAAGACTGTTAGAATTTAAAATGATCCCAGAAAATACTGTCGTATTTGTGTCCAAACGAGGAGGAAGTTTAAGCAACTTTTGACCACTAAAATGGAGGATGAGGAAGTTCACCTCGCCACTTCGAGATGTGGACAGAGAAGTCAGAGGTGGGGTGGGAAGGTTAATAGGCCTTTGCCTTTTTAGCCAAAACAAGGGAGTGTAAATAACTGTCAACTTGGTGTGATCAGTGTCCTTGTCATTGATATGAGCAAATGAGGTGTCTCCACTCCCCAACGTACCTCAACGAGACGATAAATTAAAGTACTATGAGGGCAAATTCACGCCAATAAAGTGAGCCTCGATGGGAGGTGAATTAGAGGAGGTGACTTCCTCAAAAGAGTTATGAACGATAATGTTAGTGGGACTTGTCAAGGAGTGAGACGGTTGATCAGGTTCAAAAGCCTCCTCTGACAAATCGGATCCCTTTTCGTCAGGTAAAATACTAACACAGGACTGGTAAGTGGCTTTTTCCATGTCATAATAAGAATCACATGTCTACCACGGCGGACGAATCGCCCACGACGGTAATGGCTACTCCATCATTAATTATGTGAGTGTTCCTAGCCTTTAAACGGTAAAAGTTGGACAAAAGTCAACAAGGCGGCTGAAATTAACACTACAATTAGCTGAGAGTCATCTAACTGTTGTAAAATCTCTGACTTCAACAAGTTGAATAAAAAAAAGCTGTGAAGGAGAGTGCGTAATTTCCCGAAAGTTCCGCGACACATACAAAAAAAAACAATGATTAAGGAGCAGGAAAAATGCGAAAGAAGGTGACGGAGGAGGAGGGAAAGGAGGCGGGGACTGACGGGGGTGTTTGGTTTCAAGACCACGGCAATGTGGCCGAAGGACGTGGTGTTGACTGCGACTCTCACGCGAAGTCGCACTAACGTCAAATTTTAATCATCATTAGACAGTGTCTCCGCTCTTCCCTCCTAACTGTGTGTGTATTTATTTTATATAAAACAGGTACACATAAAAATGTTATAAATGGGCACGCAACACATTTTTTTCCGCTACCTTCTTTCCCCCTTCCCACCCCCCATTTTCTCCACCAAGATGCTAAGCGAGAACATTGTGTGGGCGCGGGTGCCCGCTGTGACTCAAAATCGCGGCTCCTGGATTGAGACCAACCTTGGTACTGCCAAACCTCTTGAGCCGGCAGGTGTTGGTTGATGACACGTGAAACTTTATTGCGCCAATAAAGCAGCCAATTTCTAGTCATTTGATTCCCCCTTGTGGAATGCTTCATCGCGGATGGAGGAAGTGGAGTAGACAGATGAATGCATTCTCTTTTAAAACTCACAAAAGGTCCCACATTTAAGAGGACAGTGGTGGAGGGGGCCCAGAGCATTTCATTTCAGTAAAGATATGTAAAAGCGGTTCGGAAGTAATTGGGCATGTCTTTTTTTATTCCATCCTGTTTCAGTAGTAGATGGAATGACCACCTAATTAAGCGGAGAGGCCTTGGAAACTACACCGGAGTCCCCTACGAACCTGTTAGGTTCGCAGTCTTCCCAAACGCGCTCAACAGGAAGCTTTGGTTTTCTGTAAGACGGTGACCATGTTGGCAACACAGTTTCGCCCCCTTTCTACTCCAAGCTGTTACAATTACAGACTTTCACCAGAAAATACGCATTTTATGGATCATATTTCATTACGATCTGCAGATTTACGGTCTAACTGGTAGCTGACATGCAATTGGTCACTCTTGAAAATAATTCAAGTCTGCTTGCTATCCTCCTCAAAGTGTGGAGGACTGTGAGATCTCCTCCCCTCTGGGTGGAAGGAGGAGGCAGACAACCAAACTGAATGATGGAACTTCGACCTTCGCGCCTCCATACACCATGCCTGTGAAGGAGGCTCATTGGTGTTTAAGGCCTTACATCAAACTGTATCATTACGCAGAATTCAATAAAGACGATTTTCGGAAGGCAAAAATTGAAACGTTAATAGTACTCGCCCCAAGACAAAACAATGGTGCCGTCAAAATTACTCCTCCTCATGCGCACAAGGCTACGGCAATGCAAATCGGAGCCAATTACTGCCAACGACCGCCACTCTCTCCGTCAAGATTTGGTTATTTTGAGAACTGTGCCCTCTACCATGCACTGCTGTAAAATCTTCCAATCCAGAGGAAGTTATTCCCAAATATGTTTCTGAGCGGTTGAGAAAAAACAAAAAAATGCACTCCAAATGTCTCTTTTCAACATGTGAATGAATGTGTGGACTAATTAATTAAGCCCTCTGAAATGGACGAATAAAGGAGTGAGTAAGGGAGTGAGTGGATAGGTGACTTAATCAGTTAATGAATCGGGAGTGAATCACACCGAAAATCAGCATAAAAGAAAAGAGAATTGAAAGGAGACATTTCCGAATCGCCATGCAAGAGTTGAATGATATATCGAAGCAAGCGGATATTCACCGCCTTTTTCGCAAAAATTGAACGACCTTACAGACATTTCCTCAGCAGAGTTTTGTGCTTTTTAAGGGTGCACAACACATTTCCGCCTGGATTGATAAAAGGGCTAGATGGAAGGTTTGGAGGGAAAGTTGTCCCCCACTCAGGCTAACCAGTAAAGTTACTTCTCTACCAAATTCAAAATATGGACAGATTTAATGTGAAATGAGACAACTTTGACACATTTCGTAAGTGGCCACTCTAACTGGACTAGCAGGCAACTTGAAATTTGCCTAATTCGTGAGCTAGAACAGGTGAAAGGCAGGTGTTTAATTACTATCCATAGTCGGTTGGACGGAGAAGGCGAATGAGAAGGCGGTGGAAGAGGTGGAGGAGGAGGAGAAGGAGGAGAAGGAAAGAAAAACAAATTGCAGCAAGGGAGAGAACTCACATTTTAAGATTTTTGGTTTTCGCGTCAATGGGACGCGGGAAGGTGAGGTTGGCTGTCACCGGTTGGAGTTGAAACTCCTTGTCGCTGTTTGTCGCCTTAATTGTAGCATCCACCCTTAGTGGCTCTTCCTAACAATTGTAGTGGAGAGAAAACTGAGCTCCTTCCCACTTGAGCAATCCTACGAGGTAATTTCTCCCTTCATTTTGGAGCTATTCTATAGCTTCTACACTGTATGCTTAAAAATTTTCCCTTATTCTATTGCTTCCAACATTTTGATCATTTCAAGCCATTTACAACATGGGACGGGAGAGATGGCTCACCACACTGTCCACTTCGAATTGAATGACCTCCTTCGGTCCGTATGCTGCGCATGCCGCCTGTACGTAGAATAGATGAGGTCCAAATATGCGACATCTAGGAGGATGAAGAAGTAAATCAGTCCCCCAACTCCATCGCACCGTAATTACGGTATCTAAAGGATGCGATGATAGGCTTACTTGTCAAGTTTGTGACCGATGCAGACAGTGACTTTGTAGGGTGACTCGTCACAGTTGCGACTACTGTCGTAGGTCAAGCCGAGGTGCATAGTGACATTCACCCTTGCCTGAGGAAAGGAAAACACCCGACACTTTATCTCCCATCACTGTCATCGTAATAAACAGCACATCTTCCGCCTCCACTGGATACTTACACACCGTGATTGTTGTTATAACTGGTTTAGTGGGATCCACCCAGTCCGATTAGCCACTTGTTTACTTCGGTTTAAAAATGACAATCTTCACGCACCCCAAACCACGTAGCTACGCACTCAATAGATTTCGGCTACACATCACTAGTTTCCAAAAGCGGATGTCACAAGACATGCAAGCCCGACTATAAACCTGGCTGAAAATTTACTGCCCATTTAAAAAAATCGAGACTGTTATTGGCCCGGGGGAGGAGGGGGCTCAAGGTAAGACCAAGGGCGAGGAGGACAACAAT